TGTTCTTGAGTAGGATCACACGTCCCACACTTGGAGCACACATTAGCGTTCGGAGTCGGGCACATGTCGGTTCGGTGTCCAGTTGATCGACAAATCTTGCAAACCTGTACGGTAGGCTTGTATGGATAAGAGATCGCCTCTGCACCTATAAAATAGACACACCTGGGGAGCACGTCACCCGTAAAAATTATTATTGCTAACTTCGAAGAGCCCAGCATTCTGGCTCTCTCTATCTTCACCCCTTGTGTCCGTATTCGTAGGTTTGCCATCAGGTCGGCCTGAGTGGTTCCGAGCGGTGGTTCGTGAACGATGCCTCGCAGCACGTCTTCTGGGTCGGCCACGTACGCATGGAAGGGGTGAATCCGTCCTCTGATTTTCGATTGGTTGATCTCTCTCAGCCTGCCCGCCACTTGTTCGTGTGGCGTGGACAATATTATGATGTTCGATCCGGGGTGGACCCACAGCAAAAAACTTTCTCCACTAAAGCTGTTCCGGCAGGCCTCTATCACTGCCATAGAGAGCTCGGATCCAAATAGATTTTTCACTGTGAGGCCCTTGTGCGGTCTCAGGATAACCTTTATGTCTTCCTTTGGAAGAGGCGTTGTTCCTTGGCGTTTTCTGCGCTGGAAATCCCGCTTGACTTGGCTGTCCCGGGCTGCGTCGGCAAGCGGCTGGCTTGCTGACTTTTCGTTTTTCTTCTCTAGTCCCTTCTCGGGTTCTTTCTGGCTTTGTTTATGGTTCTTTTTTCTTCTGCGTGAAATGACGATGTGCCAGCCGTCCCTCGTCCAAGTAAGAGCCAGACCCGCGTCGTCATTGTTCTTGTTATCGAGAGACGCGGCGCTGGGCGCTCGCGCGTCGTTACTTGGTTTCTCATTTGACGAGACGCTACTCGCGTCGCTCGGTTGATTCTCCGACACCAGAGATCCGCCGTGAGGGTCTTCGTCAACGTCCATGTAGACGAAGAATTTCTAGGCGTCCTTATGCATGCATGCTCAGTAGAAACAGGGGAATGGGCTGACCTCCGTTTTCCTCTGCGCAAGACGCATAGTCCGAAAAGGAGGTTGAATGGCACTCACCATTGACTTCTAACTCGGTCAGAGAATGTCGGAGAAAGTCGGTCGAATAGTAATGAGCCAGTCGACGCCCCTGTCGCCGCACCGCGCCTAGTTTAGCGTCCCGGTGCCGCCTACCGAAGCCGGTGATACGGTAAGCTGCGTTCGTGCACGTCGTATCTTTAAACGTTGATAATTTCTCGTGAAGCTGGCCCAGGTCCCAGTTTTAGGTGTCCTTCTAATCCTCGCAACTTCACGGAAAAGATGACGCACTCTTCAAGTAGACTTGAATAAAATTTCCGCCTGAAAGCGTTTCATAAAGCGGAGAGCGATGTGAGCACGTCCTCACCGCCCTACGCCGCCTAGCGGATCTCATGTATAGATACGAAGCAGTGGATGCTGAGGCTTACACTGGCGGCGACGTTGACGCTGGCGCTCATCGCGGCGTTGCGCAGCAGAGAAGCTTGGGGAGGCGCTAAGCATGTAGTGATGAACCGGTGTTTCCTGCTGGAATGTGCTAATCACTGCTAATGAACGACGGAGACAGAAGATTCTGATCAGACTCAGAGACTTACAGTACGCATTTAGTTAATGCATTTTTATAGGTCAACACTCCACAGCACACATTTTGAATCGGCACTGCATTGGAAGTCAAGATTCAGTGCCAAAATATATAGATCAATTTCGCCAGACTTAGGTTAGGGAAATCCGTTGGCGCTATCTTGGTAGGCAAAAGACGCTCTGCCTGCCGAAGTTTCTGCTGGGTTTTCAATGGTGCATGTGGTGTTCTCAGTCAAGCAACGAGGAAAAGAAAACGGGAGCATATCCACGGGGTGAATGATGGAGAGTGGGACGAAGCATGCGTTCGTCCATTCGTTCTCGTTTCCGTCCGTCCTTGCGTTCGTCAGTGTGATCGTCCGTGTGTGCGTCTGTTCGTGCATCCGCACGTCCATCCATGAATCCGCCCCTGCGTCCGTCCATGAATCCGCCCCTGCGACTGTCCGCGCGTCCATCCGTCCGTGCAGCCATCCGTGCATTCGTCAATGCATCTGTCTGTGTGCCCATTCGTCCATGTAGCCAACCCTCCAAGTACCACCATTTCGCATCTTTTCATCATATATTCCGCATATAGAAGCACCGCCACCCAGTAGACATACCAAAGACTAAACGAGAGGGGGGCACACGCACACTTCCTTACGGCTTGCGCTTCGTGCTTACTTTCCACCTTTGACCACCTCGAGTTCATGGTATGTACTAGTTCACTCTATTCGTGGCGCTGCGGCCCAACGCCGCTAAAGCTTTCTAAAACCAAGTAGGTTACGCCCAGATAGTATAACGTAGCAACCCTTTCTTGAGATAGTGCTCAATGTACATGCCAAAGGCTGCTAATGGGGAATGAGAGACAGGAGAATTCGGCATTTCAGTTAACGCGCATGCTGGGAATTTTTTATTGTTCAATAATGCACAGAGTAAATGTTACACCGGCACCACCTTGCAGGTCAAAACCTAAGACTGGTTACGCACTACGACTAGAAACGATCGAGTGCAGCTTCAAGGAGCTTCGCCCCTGAAAACGGCACGCCGACGAGTGGCGTCGCGGTTGGATGTTAGTCGCGTGTCACAGCCTAGATTTGTTTGTTGGCGCACATCGCACGGAATGGGCCTATAGACCCATTCCGTGTTTGTAAACACAGGTGGGCCGACGTCGACATTATGGTTTAAATTATAGCGACGTCCGCACGTATCTTCCGCTATAAGCACGGAGGGCGGCGATGTGCGCCAACAAAACGACGTCGTGAGACGCCAAGAGCGTTGTGAAAGCCATAAGCGCTGAGAAATGCGGTGTGTGCCAGCAAACAATACTATGTTGTGAGACGCGATTCACATCCAACCGCGACGCAGCTCAGCAGTACACCGTTTTTTTTATCGTTGCATCTCAGAACACTACATGCACCATTGCAAACGCAGCAGAAGCTGCGGCAGGCAGAGCGTCTTGTGCCTACAAAGACAGCGTGACCGCATTTTTGTGACGTAAGTCCGGTGGAAGTTGTCTATATGGTGGCCAGTGAGCGGTTCTGCAGCGCGAGCTGTGGGCTTCTAGGGGCGAAGCTCCTTATAGCGGCACCCGTTCGTCCCTCGTAGCCATTTGTAGTGTGTAACAAGTATAACATTTTGACCTCCAAGGTGGTGCAGTTGAGAGATTTCTTCTGTGCGTTGTTGCACGATAAAAAATAGTGCTCAACGTACACGCCAATAACTGCTAATGGGGAATGAAAGACGGGATCATTCGGGTTTTAGTTAACGCACCCGCTGCGATCCCCATTAGCAGCCATTGGCATGTACATTGAGCACTATCTGGCAAGAAAGGGTTGCTACGTTATACTTGCTGGGTGTACCTACTTAGTTATAGAAGGGTTTAGCGAGCATTGAGCCGCAGTGCCATGAATACAATGAACTAGTATATACCATGAACTCGAGGTGGTTAAAGGTGGGAAGTAGATACGAAGCGCAAGCCGTAAGAAAGAAAAGCCGAATTCTCCTGTCTTTCATTTTCCATTAGCAGCCAATGGCATGTTCAATGAGCGCTATCTGACAGGAAAAGGTTGCTACGGTATACTCGGTGGGCGTAACCTCCGGTTCTAGAAAGGTTTAGCTAGCGGTGGGCCGCAGTGCCATGAATACAGTGAAATAGTATATACTATGAACTCGAGGTGGTTAAAGGTGGGAAGTAGGCCCGAAGCGCAAGCTGTAAGAAAGTGGGCGTGTGCCACTTCTCGTTTAGTCCTTGGAATGTCCACTGGATGGCGGTGGTTCTATATGGAGAATATATGATAAAAAATGCGAGATGGTGCTACTTGGAGTGTTGAATAGATGGACGGAGGGACACACAGAGAGATGCATGGATGGACGCATGAACGGACGCAGGGGCGGATGCATGGACGAGCGCAGGGACGGACGCACGAACAGACGCATGCACGGATGGGCGGATGGACGCATGGGCGGTCACACAGACGGACGCATCGACGGACGAATGCTTCGCCCTACTCTCCATCATTCACTCCGTGGAAATGCTGCCACTTTTTTTTTCACCCAAGAAACTCGCCACCAGACGTTGCCTACGTCAGCGTTAGGAGGTGAGAGAGGGGGAGCGTAGGAGAGAAAAGAAAAACGGGGGATGGTACGCGCATGCGCAGTGGAGCGCGGACGCCACAAGATCAAGCCGCTTGATAAGGTGCTCGCATAAAACAAGCATAAGACAGCCGAAACTACAAAAAAGCTCTCAAATATATAATCTTGCCTTCAGGTTGAGCGCAGTAGTTGAGTTGTTTAGTATTTGTTTTTGTGTGCACGTTTCTTACTTGAGCAAAACACACAAACGTCATCAGCAGTTTTCCCAGAAAGTCATTTAGTCGGATAAGACTTAAGGTGCTCCGAGACGCAGCATCCCGGCGAAAAGAGCGAGGCTGCTGATCAGCTTCTGGACGAATTGCTTTCATGCACTCCATCATGCTCTCCATCCATGTCATGACGTCAATATCGCTCATCGATGCCGACCTTTGATGAGGAAACGCAGTAGTTTTTTTTTATTCAACCATAATACAATCATATTCAACCAAAGCTTCTCCCTTATTGTCTGGTCACGCGCACCTTCGATTCCGCGTAGCTCGCGAATTTTATGCTTTGTTTCTCTTACGGATGCTTTGCTTTTATTATTCTTCTGGCGTTCAATATTCTTAACAATCGGTTGATAACTGAACATTTTACAATGGTAAATCGAATGACTAGTAGGTGAGCAATTCATGCAGAAATACTGTGACCAACAATGTTAATATTGTGTAAGCACGCCTTCTGTACCCAACAAAAGTGAAATTAAAATGAAGATGCCATCGCCTAGTTGCGCAGGTTATTACAAAAGGGTGATGATAATACCTTTTCTCTTTGTTTCAGATCTAAGGAAAAACAAGAGAAGGTAAACGCGCTAGCTTGCTCACGCGTGTAAAGGACGCCGATACTCGACTGAATATTTCTTTCTCTTTCAGACACAAGTACAAATTACTGTAGAAGACACAAGTGCTGATGATGGGAGCGTGAAACACCCAGGTAACAAACACGCAGAATTAAACACATTTCAAAGCGAATTTGTTTTGGGTGAATTAGTTCTTACGCTGTTTTGGGCGAATTCGTTCTTATTGAGACGCGAAATACGTTTCGTCAAAGGAAGGGAAAACTGACGAGAAATTGGCCATTAACTCACACTTCCAGAAACTTACAGAAGAAAATACTTACCGCGCATGCATAAAAGCTTTGGCATCATACGTTAGCGCTTCAGGCATGTGCGGAAAGTTTTTTTTCAGACAATACAATGCTCAGATTGTGAATAAACTGTCAGCGCTTCACTGTGTTCATTTTTGTGTTCTTTTTTTTACGAAACCTATTTTGCGCCCCATTGAAGTGTGCCTAAGCAACGCAGAAGTAAACTATAAAAGCTCCGTTTTAGGGTGTGTCGATATTCGGCTACTGACCCGCAGGATGCGGGATCGAATCCCGGCTGCGGCGGCTGCATTTCCGATGGAGGCGGAAATGTTGTAGGCCCGTGTACTCAGATTTGCGTGCACGTTAAAGAACCCCAGGTGGTCTAAATTTCGGAGCCCTCCACTACGGTGTCTCTATAATCATATGGTGGTTTTGGGACGTTAAACCCCCCATATCGATTGACTCCAAGGTCGTGATTTAAAACCTAGCATGGAGGTCAGGTCACATTTTGGTGGTGGCGATACAATGGAGGCCCGCCAACTGTGCGATATTAGTGTACATTAAAGCAAAGCAGATGGTCGGAGTTTTCGAAGCCCTACACGACTGCATCTTTCAAAATCATAGCTCGGTTTGAAGATGTACAGTCCTACATATTGTTGTTTTGTTATTAGGGTGTGCCTATAGGCAAGGGTTCTACCGTGAATCTAAGCACATGATGGCCAGTAACTGCTGCGATAAATGCGGAAGCCGGGTCTGTTCTCACGCTACCGCGTTAAAAAGCTCAATTTGAAGGAATTCCGCGTCGGCGTCCGTGTCGTGAATTGTGAGCGAAAAATCATCTTGTCCATGACCAAAAAATCGAGAAAGATGCAAATAAATTAGGTAATACAAATTTCCGGGTTCAAGTGAAATCGGGCCGTTTGCATGGCAAGTAACTGTTCTACACACATGCACGTGTATGCATTGAAATGCAGTGAAAATAACTTTTATGCACGCGTCGTGTACACAGGCGTCTCAATATGACTTCAATGTCACAGTAATATTGCGTGTTACTTGCGTACATTGCCTTCGGGTGTGAGATCTTGTGATTATCATAACGACTTTGTCCTCTAAAGCCATGCACCGATTACAAAAGCCGCGCACGCTACTTCGCGTATGCTCCTAACACGACGCAGTGGGTGCATAGTCGGTTCTAAGATATCTGATGCCCACAGTTGCTCGTGATTTAAAGCATGCTACCCACCGCACAGAATGCAACCATACGCAAAGCCTCGCACACCGCTTCCGAATTTAGCAAGTAAACTGCAGGAATGTACAATTTATTCTTCTCGGATAACATTGTACAATAAAAAGAACGCAATGAATAAAGGCCGAATATTGTGGTCACGTTCAACTCCTAAAGGCTGAACGTGACAGCGTCTCAAATGTTTTTTTTTTTTTTCGCAGTTGACCAAGAGGAAAGCGACGATGACGATGATGACGGTAGCGACGAGGAGGATGATGACGAAGACGACGACGAAGATTACGGAGACGAAGGGGAGGAACTTGGGGACGAGGAAGACGAAGAAGATGAAGAGGAGGACGACGAAGAGCTGGACGAGGAGTCTGATGATGAGTCAGTCAAGTCGGCACGACCGCGCCGCATGTCCGAGCTCCACATGAAGACCAAAATCAGGCCCATCCCCAAGGCCAGCTCTTTTTTCATCTTCTCGCACGACAACAGGCAAGTGGCGTGCTCCAGACTATTTTTGAAAGAGAACACGTCGAGAAGGTAGTTTCTATTTAGTTCTTTGATTATAAAGCGGGGTTTATTGGCGTAAGCAGCAGAGGAGTTCTATCGACAGTGAAAGTGGGCGGTGACAACCGACACAGGAATCACAGCGCCAGGGCTTACAGCTCGCGCTCGGTGCTTCTGGACAAAGAGACGGTGCATTACGGTGTCTTGGTCTGAAGCAGAAATTGCAAAAGCGCATGCATTTACAAACATGTTAATAGCATCCTGTGCCAACATAATGTAGAAGAGTGTGAAAGAGAAAAAACACTTCGCAGAGAACGCCTTGAGACATAAAATAACAGATTATTCAGTATCTAGACGATGTTATAGCTTTCAAGGAGCTTGAAAAAGCTCGACGTCACGCTTAATTTCTTTGGGCACTCAATAAGCTATTGCCACCCATTGTTCGTGCATAGAAAGAAATTGAAACATCAGGGTTTGTTGATGGCACACAATCTACTGGCTACAGCTGCAACAGCGCTACCAGTACTGCCATTTTGCAAAGATCATGTGTTACAACGCACGGCACTTGCGAGTCCTCTTTTGTACTTTACTGTCTTTGTGAAGTAACCTATCGTGGGATAAGGACAGCATGTGCGCAGCCAGACAGGTTTCTGTAATGTAGGACAGATTTCTGAAATGCACGTGGGCAGGCTGGCAGGCCGGCAAGCAGGCAACAAGGCAAAGAAAAAGCTTTATTGAGGCCCTGAGGAACACTACATCAAGGCGGTAGAGCAGTGGGCCGCTTCCACATAGGGACGGCTAGGCGTAGCCTCATCGTCGTGGCGGGTAACCCTGACCCCTTTGAACGGCCCTGAGTTTATGCAGATGTTATTAGCTTTTGAGTGCATAGCTCCATTCCTCTTTGCCGTCTGCGGACAACTCTGTAATGAGGCGCACTATCAGAGTATGTCCTCTAACGTAGATTCGGCACCAGAATCTGAGCGGGCGTGATTTCAATGAACTGGCAGCGGGAATAAAGACTGAGATATGGCCTGGTTTGAAGCATGTGGATAAGCTGTGCTCCAGAGGAGGAGAAAAACTTTATTTATCCGAGGAGAGAAAGGTGCGGTGATGGAATGTCAGAAGAGCCTACCCGGCGTAGGTCTCCGCTCCCCTCTTGGCCCAATCGAAGGTCTGGTCCTGGACCTCGGGCGCTGAGCTGCACATAGCAGCCTCCCACTGATCCCTACTATTAATGTCTAGAGGGTTAGGTGGTGGGTTTCGAGTACAGCCCCACATGATATGTTCTAAGTTAGCTCTTTGTTGTGTGCTCCAGAGAGTTTCATGGGGAAGGGGGAAGACCCTTCTGCCCAGATGGTAATGATTAGCAAGTTAGTTCTGCAGATACCCAGAAGGTAGCGGAAGGGTTAAAAAAGGGAAGGCTTAGGAAAGAGAAAGGGATTCTATGTAATTGGTGCATTGCATTGCTATTATTGTCCATATGGCTTGTAAGTGCTTTTCCTATCATTCCTATGTAGTATTTGTGTAAATGATGTATCTCGTACTGAGTTACCGTCGCATTTCTTCTTTTTATTCAATTCCACCACATTTTACATGTAATTTCTTCTGTTTATTTATGCGTGCTAGTATTTTGGTAATTATGCACCACGTGCAAGTGATTATTCTGTGCAGTGTAGCGTGAGTGGTGCTGGAGGCCTAGTCAGGTGACATTTCTTCTAAAGTTACCTTACGCAATCAGCATCACGACAGTCTTGTATTGTAGGGCAATTGAAGAAATAAATAAAGTAAAAACGAAGACAACCACCCGTTTGTAGCACGAAGCCACAAGAAAATGCAAACAACTAAGAAGCTTTTTTTTCCTGAGAAATATCTGTTTGAATTTACTTGTGGCTTTGTGCTGCAAACGGGTGGTTGACTTCTCTCCCTTTCTGGTAATGTTTAGTAACCCAGTTGAAAGTTAGGAGAAAGTCCCCAAACACCGTGAGGTTACGGTCAGAAGATCCCCCAGGATGCCCAGCACGGTGAGTAAGTTCACATGCGTGGACGTGGGTGATCTCATTTAGGTTGGCGATAGACTGTCAGATGTGATGCGAAGTGGAGCCGGACACCAAACGATGGTGTGAGAAAATATATCCCTAGGACCTATGATGCTAAACACCGCGACGTTAGAGTCATAAGTTCCCCCAGGATGGCCAGCGTGGTGAGTAAGCTCACGTGCGCGGACGTGGGTGATCTCGTTTAGGTTGGCGATGGACTGTCAGATGTGATCCGAGGTGGAGCCGGACACCAAATGATTGTGTGAGAAAAAATATCCCTATTGTCTAACATGGTATTTACCACAGCCAATAGCAATCTGAACGCTAAGGCTCGGACCACCACTCGCCAGTCTGTGTGTTGCCGGGAATCGTAAAGGGGAGTGAGTGCTATGGCTACCTGTTCAACTTCAGCGTTAGTGGTGTTTTTGATAGACGCGGAGTGAATGACACAACAAACGCGACCACTGAGAAGTTGACTGATCGACTGCACTGCGCCGCGTCCATAAACAAGGCTTCACCTCTGCCCTTCCACCTCCCCACGCTGTGCTGCTGGTGTGTCCTTGGGGGACACGAAGGGACCGTAAAGTTGGCCCTTTGCTTCTTTATGAGACTGTGCTTTTATTTCTTATCTACCGCACCACACCCTGGGATAGTCAAGATGCTCATGCCCGCAGCCTAGGAGGAGCGCCTGGCCATCTGAGCCGTATGCTGTGCCTGGATGATCTCTTCCAACTCGTCTATATCCAACTGCATTAGGTGTTCTGTGCTAGTATTCGAAGGGAACGATAGCGTTCTTTGGATGTCCTTGTGGATTAAAAGATTAAGCTTAGTTCTTTCATGGCTTTGCCATCAGTGCATTGCAGCACAGCAAGTAATGTGGCTTACTAAGAAAGCGCGAAAAAGCCCTAGCGCTTTCTCTTGCCCGTGAGTGTCATTAGCCTCTATTAGCATGCTATGTACTGTCATTACCTCTACCATAGGAAGGAAATGACCTGAGCTGGTACAAAGCTTTGTGTTGATATCTGAAAGGGAGACACAGCCTTTAGGATTTACATTGTTTCTATTGGGCCTCTGTAGCAAAAGTTTAGATTTGGTTGGAGAAAATAGGATTCCGGTACCACTAAAAAAAGCTTAGGTGTAGTTTGAAGCCCCATGGAGTGTCCCCTCTATCTGCTCTCACTGCCACCCATGCACCAGGCAGTAATTTCATCCACGTAAAGGATACATCGTATGCCCTCTAATTGCGAGAGACCTTTGGTAAATCTGCAAAAAGCAATATTGAACATAAGTGGTGATACCATTCAAGGCGGTGGCATACCTTTGAAGGCAAGAATTAAGGGTTCTGATTTGTGATCTCTTAGCTTAATTATAGCCTTCCTGCTTTTGGGGAAAGAGCTGATGAATGCGTGTGGTATATGCCCTAAATCAAAAGTAGAGATGGAGTTTATAATATACGTGTTGTCAAATGCTTTCTCTGGATCTAGTCCTAAGATCGCCCTGACATCTCTCGTTGCAACGTCCATAGTTTTGTGTTTCACCAACTTCATGGTATCTAGGATCAACAGTGCTGGTTGGAAGCCAAGGGAAAGACACCATGGTCGTCAATGTGTTAATCACGTGTTCGGCATCTTTTCTTATAAAGGTCTTAGATCACAATGATTCAGTGAACGTTCCGGTTTTGGGTAAACAATGACTGACACCAGTTTTCATGATGATGGGAAGGTGCCCTGTTCGCAGACCTTGTTATTCTCCTCTGGGAGTATTTGCATAGAAGACGTCCAGATTACAAAATATTCGGTTTGAGATACTGTCTAAGCCTCCGCCCCGCCGCGGTGGTCTAGCGGCTAAGGTACTCGGCTGCTGACCCGCAGGCCACGGCATCGAATTCCGACTGCGGCAGCTGCATGTCCGATGGAGACGGAAATGCTGTAGGCCTTTGTGCTCAGATTCGGGTGCATAATAGAACCCCAGGTGGTTGAAATTTCCGGAGCCCTCCACTACAGCGTCTCTCATAACCGTTACGTCGGCTCTGAATATACCCCTCTCGTAGACGTCACAATATAGTGATTTCGAGACGTTAAACCCCACATATCCATTAATCAATCATCTGGGCCTGTGGCCGATCTTTCATACAGCCTAATGAGAGCCTCTCTCAAGTCAGCCGTGCTGAATAAAAGATTCCGTTACAGACTTCACGTGTGGACCCTCGTAAAGAGGATAGTTGGCGTCACGCGAGAGATGAACCAGCAGATATCTTTTCCCGAGTAGCTCGACCACATTCGTTCTAAGTCTTCTTGTTTGGCCATATTCAGGATTTTGTCTATAGGATGCCTCTTGTGGGATTTCGAGTTTTGATTCTTTCAGAAGGTGCTTCAGCAAGATCCACCTGCCCCCCTTGCGCATCTGGCCTTCGAGCGAGTTACAAACCTCGCTCCATTGTTGCCTAGAGAGCGTGTGTCAGTGGTCCTTAATCTCGTGATTCAGCTGAGCGATAATATTACCTAAACCTATGGTTCACCTTGTGTCTCTTGAACTTGGGGGTATGTACGTACGTTTTTAGGTTTGAGCAAATGCGCTAAAGACTGTCCATTTTCTCAACCCTAAAATTGGTAACTATTGACTTCATGGACGTAGTTAAATCCTCCTTGAGCTACAAAAAAATCAAAAAAATCGGAGCGCGCTTTTGCGATAACGAAGCAGCCTACCAACGTTGTTATGCTGAAGTGTAAACGAGCATTATGGTACAAGAGCGTGTGGGTCCTGTGCGGCCCACTGATTACATTGTTCTCCCTCTTTAAATAAGAAGAAACTCTTATGACAACATCTGTTTACACAAAGCATAGCTGTTAATTTGCTCTCAAATAATAGTTAGTGAAACAACCCTCTTCCGACACTTAGTTTTGTAACAAGAGCTTGCTTAGCAAACGCACTCCACTCATTGAGGTTATGGTGCGCACACGAACGCTCAATATATAGCCCAGATGCCTTATTCTTGGACAACTAACAAGCTCTAACAAGCCCAGTCAGCCGGGTTACTGTATTCTTATTTGATGGTGCAGAGAGCTATAAACGATGAACTAACAGCTTTCTCTGAATCCTTTCTAACCGATTTTTTTATGCGCACTGTGGAAACAAACTGGCACCTATTTAAAACCAAACTACAGCACCTGATAAAAGTTCACGTTTCCACCGTCACCTTAACCATAAGGTCAACATCCCTATGGTTCAACGCCTCACTAAAACGTCTTAAAAATAAAAAGAAGCACCAGTTCCGCTCCGCTAAGCATTCAGACACCCAGTACGCGTGGGACAAATACAAGGCAACCGAAAAGCTTTTTGATTCTCTCGCAGCTAAAGCCAAGTGTTCTTTCTATTCTTCTACCTTACCTGATATGCTCCGAAAAAATCCTAAGCAATTTTGGAAAACAATTAACCCATCATCTATTACCCCTTCATCGAACATTACACTACGCGACGAACAAAATGTTTCAATTCCTGAACACTACACTTCGCATGTATTAAATGAAACCTTCTGCTCTGTATTCACCATAGAACCTGACGGTGACCTTCCCCATGCCCTTCCTGTATGCTACCCGATCATGTCGAAAATCGTATTTCATGCCAATGGTATTTCTAAGATAATCGACTCGTTAAAGCTTACTTCATCAATGGGTATAGATGGCATTAACACAAAAATATTGAAGAACACTAAAATTGTAACAAGTGTGATTTTATCTAACAATTTTCAGCAATCACTCTCATCTGGAGTGGTGCCCCAAGACTGGAAGGTAGGCAAGGTCATTCCAATCCCAAAGAAAGGTAACTCGTATTCACCCAAAAACTATCGTCCCATTTCGCTCACAAGTGTATGCTCTAAAATAATGGAACACGTAATCTATTCCCACATAGTCAACTTTCTCGCACCTCTTCATTTCTTTCATAAAAACCAACATGGCTTTCAGAAAGGTGTTTCGTGTGACACTCAACTAGCTCTGTTTACTAATGACATTAGCTCTAGCATTGATGTAAATATACCAGTAGACGCGCTCTTTTTAGACTTCGAAAAAGCTTTTGACAAAGTTCCTCATAAACGCTTGTTCTTAAAACTTTCTTGTCTCAACCTTGACCCCTTAGTTTTAATTGGATTTGCGACTTTTTAACTAACCGCCAGCAGTTCGTTTACGCAAATAATCTTTCTTCGTCTTTACGCCCCGTAATTTCAGGCGTGCCTCAAGGCACGGTTCTAGGACCTTTGCTTTTTCTCATATATATTAACGACTTGCCGAATAATATTTCTTCTAACATCAGACTTTTCGCCGATGATTGTGTCATTTATCGCCCAATTAACAACACATCAGATGTTCATGAACTTCAATCTGACCTTCATAAAATTGAAATCTGGTGTACAACGTGGTTAATGTCCCTTAACGCAAACAAAACGTCACTAGTCTCTTTCCATCGCCGACAGTGCTACCCATCTCTAGCATACTTCATTAACAACACTCAAATTTCATGCGTAACTACATACAAGTATCTAGGTGTCTATTTTTCTTCTGATTTAACATGGTCCCTTCACATAACGCACATTACTAACGAAGCAAACCGTGCTCTTGGCTGTCTGCGCCGAAACCTTCATCTAGCTCCTACCCCTGTCAAACTACTCGCTTATCAGACACTAATCAGACCAAAACTTGAATACGCATGCGCTGTTAGGGACCCTCATCAGAGTAACAATACTAAAACACTTGAAACAGTGCAAAGCCGGGCAGCAAGATTCATCTTTTCAGATTATTCATATCAGTCAAGCGTAACCGAACTTAAATCTCGTGCTAACCTCGCTACCCTTTCGTCACGCCGCTGTATAGCTCGTCTGTGCCTGTTTTTCAAGTTTTATCATGGATCGCCTCGTACTCCCACCATCAAGCCAGCCCATCGTCATTCAGACCGCATCAATCACAGGAAAGCTGTTTACCCGCCAAGAGCTCACACCACTGCGCACCTTTCATCCTTCTTTGTCAAGACCGCACAAGATTGGAATGGCCTTCCTCCTCACGTTGCGCACCACTCCAGTATCATCAACTTCAAAGCAGCGATCGAGCATCTACTCCTTTAACCGATTGTAATAGCCCACCCCTCATGTAAAACCCCTTCATTGGGGCCTTTGAGGTACTGTAAATAAATAAATAAATAAATAAACAATACGATGTGCAAATGATGCAGCTCTGAATAAGCAGGTATTAGCAAAATAGAATACTTTGATTAGGCGTATTTTCGGTATATCAATCACTTCCTTCTCAACCAAAACAGGCGCTGAGAAAGCGAAAAATAAAAATAAAAAAAGAAGCCCCCTTGTCGTTGCTCGTCTTTTTATTCAACTGTTGCCGGTCTTCTGTAGCATTATCTCATGCGTTTATTGCAGATTGGCTCATAACTATTTTAGTCGAAAGCGTAGTGGTACCTAAATCTTGAGCTACTCAAGTTTGTTGCTACTTGCAGATGCTTGTAGAAATGGCAACTGTGTGGATACACGGTCTTTTAACAGCGCCAAAATAATGGACGGAACAAAAAAGAAGAGCACAAGAAGGTTCTGCGTTCCGCTTTTGTGTTCTAGTCTGTTATATGGCGCTGTTTCGCATGCTCCAACTGACCACTATTCTAAATCCCACAGATTTCGCATCCTGTGCCACAAGATGATCAACCACAGTTACTTTGGCAACTTCATTCTCGTGTGCATTCTCGTCAGCAGTGGTATGCTCGCTGCAGAGGACCCACTTCGCTCAACCACACACCGGAACACGGCGAGTACCTCCAGTGCTCCTCTCTCAAAAAAAAAAAAAATCTGCTCTTCATTCATGTCGCGCTGGTGTGGAGAATAGCACGAAACTGTAGAGCACTTACTTGAATACTTTTTACTTTGTTCAGTACTTTTTAGCTAAAATTTTATGTAAACCGCCAACGAAATCACAAGTTTATCGCAGGAGCTGCGTTTCGGTGCTTCACGTGACTCTGTTCCGTTTTATGCGTATTATGATTCACATTTATCTTAAGTCTCTTAGGTATCTGTCCACTTTGCTAATTTTATTACTCTTTTAGGCTCTACATTCAACAATTCCAGCCAAATTAGTGTATTAAATGCAAGTCTTGTTTTAAAACTCTTTCTGCTTTTCGGAAGTAAAGGTAGCCTGTGTTGTCGTGTACGCCACTATATAAACTTCTTCACACACAAGGTATGATAATTGTCTTGAAACGTTAATACTTCACTATGAAGAGTTTGCTTGAAGAGCAATTCTTAGAACAGCAAAGTTAAAGAGCGTTGGTGCAGCAAAGCTTCTTTTTTTTCCCAGCGTACAATGAACGAGGACACCACAACAGAGGGCTCAACACACATAATTCAAAGGCCGAAGGTTCGATTCCTGAGAGTAGCCAGTCAGAAAAAGTGTATGAAAAGTCATCCACTTTTTCTTCTTCACGTGTACACTACAGTTTAGCCCCTATACCTTTTTGGCGTATTTTTCTGTTAGTTGTCATGAACATCTATGTAAGAGGGTTGGCATTTATCAAGATCCATCTGCAAACGTAGATCTACGAACGTAGTAGAATTACGTTGTTACCGTAGTTACCCCGAGATGACGTACAAACGCAACGCTCACCGAGGTGCATGACTGATTGGTATATTCAAAAATGATGGTTGCATTGAACGCCGTCATTGACGGTTAACAACTTTGTCAGATGAATGAGAGAATAAGCAGATTTCAGCAACAGTTTCTCCTGATGGATATGTTTGCCTTTAAGAAGTTTCAAATTTGTTCACCGTACAATGAAACTGCTGTCGCTGCAAATGACACAACCTAATTTCAGCTGCCTAACTCAGCAGCCTGACCTAAAAGTCTCTCTGCTACTCTGGAACAGGTCGAAATTGTGGCTTTGCGCGTAAAAAGTTAAAGGGCTGATACAAGTTTAAGTTTTTTCATCTGTGTAGTGTTCGAAAGCGTTTGCTACTCGATGCCTAATTCTCAAACATTTACACCATTGCAATAAGAGCACTAAACCGAGTACATGATAGGTAAAAGGTACAACCCAAGCACTCGTGAAAACACTTGTTTTGTTGCCTTCACCACTTGTAGCCTTGCTTTTACGGTGAACTCACCCGGCAAAGATCCCGCCACTCATGGTATATTTTAATAAGGCTGCGAAATTGGCTACTGGGTACGTGTAGGTGTAAGAATGTGTATCATGGCAGCATTTTTCTGGGCACGTCTACTTTTAGTGGGCGCCTTAAGTTTAGGAGCTCTAGTGCTCTTTAGCTGGCTGATCGCGCTCCTGTAAATTTATTTGTTAAGAAGTGACTTCCGGTGCGGGAACTTGAAGCGCAGCTCTGCGTGCTACAACGCTGACTCGTTGCACGAGAGCTCGCACCAGCTGCGACTTCCGGAAGAATGACGGGTTCGAGTTATTCCCTCCGACCGTGAAGTGCGTTGACCCTCACCAATCGTTCATATACCGATACCGCGCAAGCTACGTAGCATTCGCTTTGTAAAGCGCTCGACACATAGTCTGACTACGTATTTCATCCGATATACGAAGCCGCACGCAGTGTACGACGATTCACGATGAATATAGTGGATGAGCGCGCACGCTCGTCCCACATGCAGCAGCACCTCAGCATGCACGCACGGAAAACATCGTATCATCTACGTTAAGTACGAAACAAACAGCCTCACACAGTCATGCTGCGCTTTCTAATATTCCCAACAAACCTTTGCCTTCTCCAGCGGCGAACATCACCACAGTGTACATTCTCTCTCGAGTCCGTACAAGCTTGGCTGATGCTCTCGGCAGCTTCACTTACGATCAAGTCCAAGCTCATTGCCGAGCACGAATTTTCGCCAAAACGATAAGAACTTTTACGCTTATGTGAGATGTGTACATGGGGAATCTGCACGCGTAACTGCTTTTCTTGGTGGCCTCAATATGAAGACCAAAGGCGGGAACGAAGCGAGCCGGTTTCGCCGAGATGGCTGGTGGCACTGTTTAATGGCCTTTCATCACGGTTTGATGTATTGTTGGTGGTTCGAAAATGGACACTTTCTAGTTTAGAGGGCAAATTTTCGACATCAATTTATTGAATCGTGAGTTCTTTTACGTCATAAACAGTTTAGTCAGTCTTTTGAGTGTGAACCCTTTTATAGTCGCACCTACTCGCAAATCAGGCATCAGTGGTGTCGTCGACCACCCCAATGCGCATGGTCGCGCCTCGTACCACCTGTGGCTCCCCCACACTGTCGCCTCGCAAGGCCGACGCAGGCAGCGTATGCTAGTAAAAACGGACTGCTCGCGCTACACAACTTGTAGCCACTCCGTACACAACTTCAATAGCCACTCCGTATACGTGTACTGTAGTGAACTTGGCTCTATACTCAGAACTTTCGTTCAGAACTGTGGAGGCTACAGGCCAACCCCTCAGCCAATAGAAAGGGTGTTTAGCCCCTCCACATGTATTCATTCGCATAGTGTCGTCTGCTCAGCATATTCAAGGCGTCTGAATGCTCAACAATTTGTAGTTTATATGTATAGGTTTTTAACTAGAAATGCAGTAAAGCTATTCAACAAGCTACTACATCGAGAACTTGAAGAAGCGTCCCCGCCGCGGTGGTCTATTCGCTAAGGTACTGGGCTTCTGATCTGCGGGTCACGGGATTGAATCCCGGCTGTGCCGGCTGCATTTCAGATAGAGGCGGAAGTGTTGTAGGCCTGCGTGCTCAAATTTGGGTGCACGTTGAAGAACCCCAGGTGATCGATATTTCCGGAGAACTCCACTACAGCGTCTCTCATAATCATATAGTGGTTTTGGGACGTTAAACACCACATATCAATCAACCAATCAATCAAATCAAATTGATGAAGCGTGAATTTGCTGCTATGCTGAATTATTCACTCTGATGCCATCGAATAAGTTCACTTTGTGGCTGTTTCACTACGACGCTGTTCGTGGATATCGTATGTATGCTCCTCCGCTGATGCGTTTCTTCGCATCTCCAGCTGCAACGCTCGTTTTAGGGGTTAAGCTCCTTGAAGCGGCCCCATTCGTTTCTCGTAGTTGTCGTAGTCGTAGTGTGCAACTGGTCTTTCGTTTTGACCTGCAAGGTGGTGCCGGTGGGAGATTTCCCCTGTGCGTTGTTGAACAATGAAAATTCGCAGTGTGCGCGTTAGCTAAAAGCCGAATTCTCCTGTCTCTCATTCCCCCTTAGCAGCCATTAGCATGTACATTGAGTGCTATCTCACAAGAAAGGGTTGCTACGTTATACTCGCTGGACGTAACCTCCTTGGTTTCAGAAACGTTTAGCGAGCGTTAAGACGCAGTGCCATGAATACAGTGAACTAGTATATACCATGAACTCGAGGTGGTTAAAGGTGGGAAGTATAGATACGAAGTGCAAGCCGTAAGAAAGTAAAAGCCGAATTCTCCTGTCTCTCATTCCCCATTAGCAGCCATTGGAATGTACATTGATCACTATCTGACAAGAAAGGGTTGCTACGTTATACTCGCTGGGCATAACGTCCTTAATTTTAGAAAGGTTTAGCGAGCGTTGAGCCGCAGTGCCATGAATTCAGTGAACTAGTATATACCATCAACTCCAGGCGGTTAAAGGTGGGAAGTATAGATACAAAGCGCAAGGCGTAAGAAAGTAAAAGCCGAATTCTCCTGTCTCTCATTCCCCATTAGGAGCCATTGGCATGTACATTGAGCGCTATCTGACAAGAAAGGGTTGCTACGTTATACTCGCTGGGCGTAACCTCCTTGGTTTAAGAAAGGTTTAGCGAGCGTTGGGCCACAGTGCCATGAATACAGTGAACTAGTATATACCATGGACTCGAGGTGGTTAAAGGTGGGTGTTACAATTCGCCACTCTAGCGTCGCCAGCGCGAAGTCGGTGACGGGAATGACAGCAGGTTGGTTCGTTCCGTACGCAAGCAGAGACAGTGACGAGATCAGAGACGTGAGAAAACAAAACAAACTTTACTCTAGTGATATTGCAGCACACGGGATTTAATACAACACTTCAATACAACTAACCAAATACATCAACACTTGATACAACTAAAAAATACATATAAAAACAATAAATCAGCTTACGCGAGAGAACTATTACAAACTACACAACTAACACCAATAGACTACGGGGGAGAAAGTTCGAAGATATAAACAGGTGAAGGCATACGTGTGATGACCGGCCGCGCTGCGTCCCTGACGATCGGATGCGAGAAGTCGAAGAGAGTTCTGGCACGACTGCGATGTGGGCGGTGTTGCAACGCTGGTGGCTCCAGGAGGCTAGTGCTTGCAGGTGACTTCGAGCTGGTTGAGCTAACTCGAGGCGAAGTCCCGATGTCTACGTTGCAGACGTTAATATCGCATCACAACTAGACGAACGGCCAAGTTTAGGTGGCCAGCCGATACAGAGCCACACTAAAAACTTCTAGAAGAGATGCTTGTTGATCTGTTTCTACACCATCTTGGTCAGCGACTAGTCTGCCTAGCAGGGCAAAATTCTGCGCTTAAGTCCCCCTCGTGTCTCCTCGCTCTCTTCCTTGGGGACAAGAGACCTCTACATGGGTCCAATTATGCACGTTTAATTGATGGAAACTCCGCCCCAAAAACATTTTGACCCTACCTCTTTTTAATTGGGAGAGGGCCCTCAACTAACGAGAGTGACAACCTGTCGGGTTCTTGTCATACGGCTTGGCCACCAGAGCGTTTCCCACGCTTTTGCCCATGGGAACGGTCAACCCTTTGGCTCTC